AGGGGCGGACTGACCATTTGGAAACTTGGGCACTGCCCGAGGGCCCGGGGTCAGTAGGGGGCCCCATGAGATGCCCCTGGTACCTTTTTCATAGGCTTTTTTGAGTTTGAGCAAGGACACAGGGGCCCCATGATCCCCTATTGCCCAGGGGCCCCATGAGTTATCAGTCCGCCCCTCTATAGAAGCTTTGCCTTCTGGATTGTATTTTGATGAGAGGAAACCCAGCCTGTCCTATTTGGGCAGATTGACTCTAAACTTACTCAGAAATTCCACCTGACACCTTTTCCAAAGAAACATCTGAAAGGTAGGACATATTTTTTTTTAGGTTTGCTGTATGAATGGGAACACATGACAAATATTTAGTGGGGTTTTCTCAAATTGGATTACAAAAGTGGAAATACACTTTAAAGCAGTGTTAAACCCAAAAATAAAAATGTAATATATTGCAGCTTACCAATCCCTAGATGTGATGGCTGCATTTGTTTTCTGTTTTAGGCTTTTTTCCTTTTATTTTCACTTGGTGATCCAGCCAGTAAGGGCTCGTTCACACTTGACTGTTTTGCCAACTCTCGTCAAACGCTCCTATAGCGTTTGACAAGCGTTGGTCCGGCGTTTGCGGAGCATTCTTTAACGCTCTGCTCCGCAAACGCTGCATGCGCGGTTTAGCGGCGGTTGCAAAGCGTTAAAAATGACCCACAAACGCCTATAATGAAGTTTGAATGGTGTTTACCGCTCCGCAAACACCCTGCAACCGCGTCGCAACCGCCGGCCGGGCGTTTGCGGAACGGCACCATAGACTTGAATAGGAGGCTTCAACTCCTCCTGACTCGACCAGAGGCGTCCGTTTTGCCGTGACGCAACGTGATGCTAACACTCCTGTGTGAACAGCACCGTGTGAATTTTCCCAGGCGTTTTGGAAGCGGTAAAAACGCTTCCCAAACGCCTGTCTGCCGCTTGCAAACAAGGCTAGTGTGAACGCAGCCTAACACACCTTCTGCCCTAATACGAGTTATTTACTAAAATTGGAAAGTGCAAACTTCAGGGCAACTCTTCACAGAAACCAATCAGCTTCCAGGTTTTATTGTCAGAGCTTAATTGAACAAACTCAAGTTAGAAGCTGATTGGCTCCCATGCACAGCTCCACCAGAAGCTGAATGCTCCAGTTTGAGTAAATCCCCCCCACGGTGTCTCTGCTCTGGATGGAGACGCAATGGAGAAACCTTTGGACAGCAGTCATTCTGGGAGAGGGTTGTGTCAGATGCATTATCAGATTTAGATGGACTTGATTACCAGAATAAAACGTTTTAAGCAGATCACAGTAAGCATCCCTGTTAATGTTAAATGCTTTGGTTGAACCTTCTAATTGCTACGTCTGCTGGACAGCTTGGTCTGTTAAAGGAAGATGAAAAATAACAGACTTACTGGCCAGATCACTAGATAATAAAGAAAAAAAAACGGATGCCGCCACATCTATGAATGTGCAAGCTACAATATATAACATTTTTGTTTTCAGCTTTACATCCACTTCCAATGGACTTCAAGCCCTGGTTCACACTGAATACGACTTTGAAACTGTGCAACTTCCCTCCAAGTCGCACAATTTCAAAGTCGCATGTCAGTGCAACTTCAGGTACGACTTGTAAGACATCTGTGCGACTTCATGCACAGATGTCAATGCAAGTTGCAACAGATATCGGCAAAAGCGGTCCAGGAACTAGTTTCAAATCGGTTCCAATGCTGATCATAGGGTGCGACACTGTCAAATTGTATGACAAGTCGCGTAGGTGTGAACCAGGGCTCAGCGATAAACACACGCATGCCTAGCCCCAGCTGGCACCTTATAAACAGTCACAGAAACAGTTTTATTTTTTCTTTTGGTAAAAAGATTTAAGTGCTCAGTTATACCGGTGCGATTCGGGAATTGAAATCACACCTGAGATCGCATCCAATGAATGTTGGTGTCTTAACATGCAGGGGCGGACTGACCATTTGGAAACTCGGGCACTGCCCGTGGGCCCGGGGTCAGTAGGGGGCCCCATGAGATGCCCCTGGTACCTTTTTCATAGGCTTTTTTGAGTTCAGGCAAGGACACAGGGGCCCCATGATCCCCTATTGCCCGGGGTCCCCATTGAGTTGTCAGTCCGCCCCTGTTAACATGTGCGATTTGCTGCGGCGTGATTTCTAAAGTAGTTCTTATTGTGATTTCACTTACATAGAATACAATGGAAATCACAAAGCGAATTGCAACAAATTGTTGAAAAACCTCACAAGACACAATAACGTCTTCAGAAATCGCACACAAATCACACACGATTTTAAATTGCAGCGGTGTGACCAGTGACTAAATCATCGAACGATAGCTGACATCTGAAAACACTCCTCTATCTATCCATTCAGTCGGATGCGACCCTTGGTGATCGCATGGACCGTCACTTTCAAGCGACTTCTTCCATGAATTCTCTTAGCAATTATTTTTACAGGGGAGGTTCCCAGGTCTTTC